AAAAAACTATAAAAAAACTATAAAAACTCCCTCTGTGTCCCGTGTTCCCTTCTCCTAGCCCTAGTTGTCCTGTCCTCCCCAATCCCTCCTTCCCTTTCACTTTGTTGCGGTCCAACCCTAGACTGGATCGTAACACATATAAAATTAGAAATTGTGATGACACAGATTTACTTCCATAGATATTTATTTTGTTATGCTTTGCATTTTTTGAGACATTATTTGTGTTGCACGAATTTGAAGCTTTAAGCTGCTAACGTGAATACAGTACAAATCAGGTACAGTTAATTTTCTTAATATGCACTTTAATGGATATTCATTTAATTTTTATTTACTCGCGAGAATATTTTTATTTATTTTTAAGTAAATTTTAGTTTTTTATTAGTAGGTTGGAGCAGTATTGACAAAGACATTCATTGTTCAGTAAAGTACTGTTTGAAGTAATAGAAAAAAAAGAGCAATTTATTTTTTGTTTCTTTAATCCTCGCTGTACCAAAAACGCACCTAACCATGACTTCAAAACTGAGGTACATATCTAACCATTATTTCTTTGTACTGTTACACCCCAAATATATATTACACCCTGTTCTGCAGGAGCACTGGAAAGATCCATGCAAGTCTGATGCAATCTATTTGTTTCACTTATTACTGGAATGTAGGATTAATTCTTAATGGACATTCCATGTTAATTGAATGCTGAAATATACACCTGTCCTGTACTCCCGCAATAACACAATGCCAATTAGTAATAGGTAAGTCCTTACCAGGTAATGTATTTGGGACTGCTCCTGATACGGTTGACTTTGTGGTTGTTTGTGGTCCAGTTGTAGAAGCGACCATTCCCCCTGTTAGTCCCAGGCCCAGAGTATTGAGATCTGACTGATATTGCAGTTTGATCCAATCTTGTATGACGTTCACATTGTCATATGTTTTCAACTGAGGTAAATTAAAACCCAGAAGGCTTTTCACCTCATTGACAGTAAGAGCCTGGAAAGTTATAAATCAGATTTAGCAAACTTCAAGTAGTCTTACATTTTTAAATACAATCGGTAAATACATGGATTGGGGCCATTTAGGACCCTATTTTAACAATCTAAAGTGCACGGTCTGAAGCACATGGCACATCTTTTTTAAGGCGTGGCCAATCCACTTTTGCTAGTTTCATAGTGGCAAAATAGCTGCAGCACCAGGCACATGGTTCAGAAGGGCTGTACTTAGTCCCGTAATTAGTCATGGGTGTGTTTGGGCCATAACATATTGCCTGCTTGTGTGCTGCTGCATGTCCCTTTGTGTTTAAGGAGTGTCTCCATGTTGTGCAGCGGCCTATGTAGGTACATGTTACGACATTAATAATGTGCCCTTTAAACGACAGATATTGTGCACTTTAAATAACTCTAACAAATACTGCACCACAAACTTTAGATCAGGTTTTTGTGAATAGCACAGTCGCTTTCCACTGCCTGAAGATAGCAATGCACCAACAAAGCACCTGACTCTGCCTCATTTTAATGAGCAGATGAGTGCAAGTATATTTGCGATTTAAATGACATGGGCATTGGACGGGAAAATGAGAACTGCATTGGGTTCACGCTAGAAAGCACACTTGGTTCATGCCTGGCACCACTTTGCACTGGGTGTAAAATAGGGCCGTTAATGTTTGTACGTACCAAGATAACCGATTTATCCAAACTTATAAAAGTTGGCAAATCCATGTTAACCGATGATTTAGACAAACTCCTTACAAAACCTATCGATGAACCACCTAAAATCAGAAAGAAAATTTTTTACAAAGGGTCAAATAGTATTTATCTATAAGCTGTCTCATAATATAGAATATTTCTGAGTCATATCAAGTTACTTCATGAATATATATTTTTGAGTAAGCTATTTAATTTCATATAATAAAATAACCACATATCATTCAAGTCTAATAGACATCAACACTCACTTAGATATGGTTGTATTTGCTGGTAGATAGTCAACGATGTGGTATTGTCTCTTGGATTGGCACCCACAGCTATTGTGAAAATGTCTTTCTTTTGTTCAAGTGAACAATTGGATATATCTAAAGGATTGGCATTTCTGGAAGTGCAAAGGGTGAATTATGAGCAGAAAACATTCAGGGGTAAACAGCAGTATAAAATAATGTTTCTGTCAGCACAAATGGGACTGAATAATACAAGTTCATAGTAATTCCTACCGAAGGCTTGTTATGTTGATAGAACTCAGTACAACAATGTCAAGAGAGCACAAGATTGTTCCTCCCATTGAATTCAGTTCAGGAGTGCCCAAAGTGTTGCCCTTTGTACTTAAGTATTTTGTAATGATGGCGTTACTCTGAAAAGATTAATTGTGTAAATGTAAATGGTATTAAATGGCATTAAAGAACACAAATAATAAGAAACTGTTATAAGGAAACAGTAGAGATCTTAAATGAGAATTATTACCTGAAGAGGATCCCAAGCTCCATCAGACGAATTCATCAAAGCAGACAGAGTGTCAATCTTGGTGATGTTCCACTTACTGATATCATCTAATGAGGCCACACGGGAAATTGATCCAAGCAACTGAACCAGTTCTTCTGGAATGCTTGAAGGATATGCCTGTAAAAGAACCTAACATTATGTTAATACTGTGAATTTAGGGTGTTTTAAGGTAAATTTATTTAATCATCATCTTTTTAAAATCAGAGAAAAAGTTTAGTGTGTGACAAACCAAAAATGTTTTGATAATAGGCTCAATGACAGAAACAGCTGGGCATTAACAAAAATAAAGCTTACGCTACAAATTCCAAAAGACAATGAACACATTTATGCAGTGTACTAATAAATGATAACCAACTTTTAAATTAATGCCTAAAGATTGCAATGGCTACATTATATTTCATTCACTAACTTAAGCTTAACTTAGCTACCAAGATAATTTTGATGCATTTTTTGTGTGCTCCTGACTTCTTTATACAGGTCATTTTTATCTGTCTTAAATCACTGTTTATATTCATTGAGCCATCTGTTTACTATTCTATGAATAATTAGCAATTAAAGACACTTCTATTGTATGCAAGGAATGATAAATTCTATATATGTTCTCAAGTAATAACGTTGTAATCAGTCCACACACTCAAGAACATTGGATAATTTAATCAATTTAATTGCCTGTTTAATGGTAGATTTAGATGTGAAATTGTGATACATCCACACACATTTTGTATGACTTCACCTGATTTAACTTGTCCAAAACTACCATCTGAAAATCGTTACTGTAAACTTTTTCTGAGAGAGCTGCCAGATTTTCCACTGCAGTTTGAGGACTCAAACAGGAAGTGAACTGTGTGATGCTAAATGCAAAGGGGAACGTGACATCACTTATAGTGACAGCGTTGATGGGCTCTGTGCAGCCTAAAAAAAATAAAGAGGTTATTTTATTGCTAAAATAGATGTATAGATATAATATTTCCTGAAATCATTGCTCCTGATTAGAAATGCAGTAGGTCACTCCACAGTAGAAACATGCAGTTTTTTTTGCGAGAATACAATGCAGTGTCCCACACAAAATTGCCTGCCAGATGGCTTTTTTACATGTTACTAGTGCTGAAATTACAAAGTGTATTTTAATGTGAATGGAAATTAGCATTGTCCAAATTTTAATACAACTATGCTGAACACGAAATCCCTGCTGTGTCTTGTTCTCCCCTCAATACGGATAGTTCTTCACTCATAGAAATAATAATCAGTTCCACAAACCCTTAAATAAGTCGTTTCATGAGTTGAATTTAGCCCCCATACCATTCAAGACAAAAAACACATAAACCAGAAATATACTAGTAACATGTACAAAAGAACATGTATTAAATAAATTAATGTAACCTTTTTGCATTTAGTAAATAACGGTAAGACTTCACTTGAGGAGGCAAAAATTACTTAAGTCATTTACTACTCAAGAACAAATCATGAACTAATATGTTTTCCCATAAAATATATGAACTGTCATGATTCATTAAAGATTAATGAACATGGAATCAGTACTTAAATGCTTAGTTACTAGTTAATTAATGCATTAAGTGAGCATGTACTACTCTATTATTCATGTCTCCTCAAGTAAAGTGTTACAGTATCTTCCAACCATTTATCTAGTAGAGGGGATCTGAGGCCTATCCCAGGTAGCACAGGGCAAAAGGCAATGAAGCACAATAGTTGGAATGCCTGTTTATGATAGAGCATGCAAACAAACACAATGTTCAATTTAAATAAGCCATTCACCAGATTGTTTATCTGTGGACTGTGGAGTACCCAGAAAAAAAAAACTTGCTCAGGGAGAACACATAGTACATGCTTGAAACCACAGAAAAAAATTTAAAGAAGCTTTTTGTAAGCAACATTTTCAGTATACACTCTGATCTGAGGTACACTAAAAAATGCAATAACTGCATGGCATATCAAGATTTACACATCTCAGTCAAAATATATCTAAACTACGTACATAAAGTAATAATGTATTGTGGAAATTTTTACTTGTAGGGCATGGTAAATTACACTTGGTAAATTACATCTGCTGGCACTTTGTTCAAGGACAAAAGAGCTCTCTCAAACACAAACCTGCATCACGTTTTAATCGGGAGGATATTTGGATTTCTTTAAACAGGTTTTTCATTTTATACTTCTCTGTTCCAATGCTTCGCAGATATACCAGGAATGTTTTCAGGAAACGATTTATAACAGACTGGAAAAACACAAAAAGATAAAAGTTACCTGAAAGATAAAGGTTATCTGAAAATGTAACAGAATACATTTTACATAAAATGAATATTAATAGGGATGTACAGGTGTGAACTTGTTCCAGAAGTTTCTTGTGAAATACAGGGGAAGAATGCCAAGGTCCGTCAGTGTCTGTATACTCCATGATGAAACATTTCTAGGAAAAATAACCAAAAATCCTTTGATCAACAACAACAATAGGTTAACTGGATTCTGTCTATGAGCCAACGTGTAGTTCTTTACACAAGTACTCTTTTATACGAAGTAACAACTGATTTCCCTTAATCTGTATTTGAAAGGAAAGAGGTTTACATACCCATATTTGGTTGTATCAGTAAACAGCAGATTTTCCATAGCTGTGACTTGGCCCATTGAGAACTTGTTACAGTTCTTTAGTTTCTCCAAGATCAGTGAATCAGAGTTCTCAATAAAGGACCCATTAAATGTACAGACCATATTGCCAAGCACCTCCACATTCGTTGCACTGAGGCTTGTGCCTGAAATACTCTATAATTTCATAGAATAGAAGAATACTATAAGGTATCTTTATTGTCATTGTGCATGTACATTGAAACTGCTTTCCCTATACAGTATATAAATATACAGTATATATATATATACATATACACACACACAGTATAAAGCTGAATAATGAACGGAAATACAGTAGCAACAATCATATATGCTTTTTTCACCATAAAGAAATGCAATATTCATGTGTATAAAAATTAGCAGCACTAAACTAGTAGGTAGTTTGGGGAACATTTATTTCGTTACTCTTCCAAACCTAAGTTCCCAAGGTAATTTTACTGTTTCTTCCTAAAGATCTATTGATAAAAATATATGTAATAAATACAATGGTATTTGTATGGTATTATGTACAAGTATAAAAAATGCTGTTGCAAATAGCTCCATACTACTTACTAGGCATTGTTTGGCATTCTGCAACAGATTGATTTTTATGAATGACAACATGTCTGACAGGACGTCAAAGTTTGCTGCTCCGACATTCGTAAAATATGAGGTACAGTTTGACGTCACATCTGTTGCATAACTGGTAACATAATACAATGATCAGTATAACAACAAACAGATACCTTTAAACCGATTTAAATAGTGTAACATAACACAAAATGTTCTATTCACATTGTTGTCAAGCTCATATAAATTTGTTTTCGTTATTAAAGCGTATTTGTTAATGTCACTTACTTGTAATACAACAGCATTTCGGGTGGGTATTCTGCAAAGGCATTTAGCCGACTCTCTCTGATGTAATTATACATGCAGGTTAACTGCAAAAGTGGAAAAAAAAGACTAAGATCTCTGTTTACAACGTAAAATCCTATTTCACCGCTGTGCATCAAAGTTTGCATGCACATTATTATATTTTTATAGCTAAGCAAACAGCAGAAAAAAATTATACTTTTCCCCCTGTATTTTGGTTTTGCAAATACTAACTATGCATGCATATGATGAATAATCTAGTAATGTGTACTTACATGAATGCACTGTATACGTATGCAGAAGTTCACAAAAACTAGGATGATGAATGTGTGCATGTGAAAATATATGCTGAACTGTTTGCATGGGTACACGCAGATGTATTGACTCCCAGACTTACTTGGGTTTCCTGTAGGACTACATATTTTCTCTTTTTCTGACAAGCTTTGATGATTGTTACAACATTGTCGTTTGGTATTCGCTGTGCTCGTGTACACGTAAATCCTTGTAGAACGTCTGGTGAAATGCTAGAATAGAACCGTATGATGAATCGCATGTTGCACACCAAACTCAAGCATGTAGTTATAATAACTGGCATAATTTCACACAAAACACAATTAAAACATACTTATCAAGGGGGCTTATTCCATTTGCTACTACGTCAAAGAAGAAAATTGCCTGTAGGAGACCAACAGGAAATACAAAACATCAACTCACAAGGTGATCAAAATCTTTCCTCCCAAAACTGCTTAAATGCTTCACTTTCTTACGACTAATTAATTTTCCACGTATAGTTTGTCATTCAGCATTTAAATTTTTTTCTTACATTGCAATAGTTACATATATAGGATTAAAAGGATTAAATGTTATAATGATAATGTAGCTAATTTACTGATTTAAGTACCTGGTCAGGTTTCCATGTTTTCTGGTTAATTAGTTCTATCATAGTTGTTTGTGTGGAGACTGAAGAAAAGTCTAGGAGAGACCTTGGGATTTGGGTCGCCATGATATCAGGGACATTCATTAACAGTGACTGTGTGTTCGTACTTATACTAATTATCTGTAAAAGAAAGAAAGATGCTGTTATTTATGATTGGCAATAACCATACATACTTCTAAAATCAAATAAGAACAATAATATTCATCTTTTAACCAATCATCCTGGTCAGAGTATAATGGAATTTCAGATTTTTCAAATACAGTTCTTCGATGTTTCTTCAGAAAAAACAGTTGCTAAGATAAATAAATGAATATGTACTTTGAAAGATACAGTACATACATACCTGACTAACAAAGGTATACTGTATGATTTCTGGAGCATTCATGATATTGGTGAGGAAAGTTGGATTTTGTGATATTTGTAAAAGTTGGGAAGATTGTATATTCATGACAATCATAGAGGGAACTCCTATTATAAGAGTTCCGAGTTGTAGCAGTTTCTGACCACTGTCTATCTGTTAATGGAGAGGGGAAAAAACATTTTCAACCAGAGAATGCAAAAAGAGTTTAGCTGCTATTATTATTTAACATTCTGTTCTGGATTTTCAAATGATTTAAATGCACAGAGTAAGCAATTAAAAGGCGTGCGACTGTGTGTATACAGTTACAGTTGTATTTTCTTTAAGTCTAATTATTGGTTTATATTTCAGTTTTAAGGACTAACATGAGATGTATCATAAGGAAATAAAAATAAATAAATATGAAATAATACCTGAAAATTTTTGAGAAGAACTTGTATAATGGTTGTTGCCTGGCCTTGGTCCCAGCCATTCACAGTACTTAGCGTGCCCAAGGATGACATAAGGACATTTGGTGGAGCTCCCAAAATTTGCGTAGTGGTAAATCCTGCACATTCCTGGCCCAGAGCTTGAATCATATTGTCACTGACTGGCAGATTTCCGGCCAGGGCTGTGGTAATCTTTGGGGGAAGGGGGGGATTTATTTCAGTATGCTCTTACATTCTATAAACATAATAGAAGTTTGATACTATTGATTTTATTTCTTCACTCTTTAAGACAAGTAACAAATGCATTAAGAAAACAGAAGACAGTTATCTGGGATTCCCACCTCAGGGTCAATCTCACCACAGGCCTGATTTATAGTCTGGAGAATGACCAAAGTGTTTTCCATGCTCAGTTGTGAGTACGATGTTCCAGGGGCAGTACAGCGGAACTGCAGTGGAAGTCTAATGAGAGTAAATCAACATATACTCATTCAGTAAAACAGGGTGCTTTTCAGAAAGATAAATGGAAGATAAATTTTGGTGTGGAATTATCCCATAGTTGTCACATGCATTCTGTACTTAAATACAGTATCGATCCATACATGTTACCTATAGAATATGTTACTATTAAACTTTCATCTTTATGGTAGCCATTTCAAACTCATAACTAGGAAAAAATGGGAGCCTTGTTAAGACTCATGGATTCTACAAAGTGATCCTCTATAAATGCCAATTCAGCCCCAGGATACATTTCAGCATACACTCCTCTAAAGGCATACAAGGTAGGTGCTTGTTGTCTGTAAATTTCTCATGGCATGTGGCTGTGTATATTCTTGCTTCATCTTGCTGAAAATGTCACACCCTGCATTATTTGTGTGGTTATGGTAGATGAATTAATGTACTACAGCAGGCCCTGTGGGTATCCGTGGGTCATACGTTCCACGATCTACTGCAGACAGCCTAAACCGCGGACAATAGCAAACCATCTGCGGACCCCATGTATAACGGGATTTTTGTTTACATACCGTGTTTCCCCGAAAACAAGCCTTAGCATGATTTTTCAAGATGCTCGTAATATAAGCTCTACTCCAAAAATAAGCCCTAGTTACTATCCCATGGATTATATGGTAACTAGAATGAGATGCGATTATATGTAAACATGAAATAATATTTTGACCCCCAGACAAGATGAGTGCAAAAAGAGAGGAAATTCTGGTTCTAAAGGAAATTGAGTTGTGAGATATTAAGGATGGAGATTTACGATGATGTTCCAGAAGAAGATGACATGAGAATATATTTGAATAAATGTATACACAGTAGATTTTTGTTCATGAATAAATGTACCGTTAGATCGTTTACATGGATACAGTGGAACTACTGTAATTCCTCACAGTGAGTTGTCTAAATGTGGTTACTATTTAGGTTGCACTTAGTATTTAAATGCATTTTATTTATGCTAGATGGTAATCCTGATGTCTTTGCAATGTCCTAATTCAGGTCATTAATTAGGTCTTTGATTATGAATCAGTTAGAAATATTAGTAGTTTAATTTTGGGATTAAACTGTATGTGCCTGTGGTTTTGGTGGGTTGGAAATAGATTTGAAAAAAGAATATAATGTACACTTTAAAGAGTAGAAATGTAAACTGAACAAATACAAGGTACCGTAGAACTTTGTAACACTTACAGCAAAGGGCTGAAATTGGGATCCTGTTGGTAAATGAGTTCTGTGAAAAATGATGAAACATTCTGAGGGAAGCTATTTACACTGAAAAGTTGGAGGTTTGCAGGGTTCAGCATAAAGACCTGGAGCTGTAAAAAAATAGCATATTGATTTTATAAAGCTATTAGCCGTTAGCTTTGTAATGCGAATCATTAAAAAAGGGTCTAGCTGATCTTCAGCACATTTCATTATATTAAGTTCAAAGTCTGAGTTGCAAAGCAAATTTCACTCTAGAGCATTATGTAGCAATGTTGATTTGACCCACATAAGAAAAATAAAACTATAGAGATGGTTTCCATGTTTGGGGTGTTTGTTCATTGCTGCAACAATTATATTACTGTATATTTTCAGTAGGCAGGTAATTCATACCTTTGTAGAACCAAGTTTGTCAACGTCATCCAAAGACATGAAGCTGATAAATGGCCCAAAGTATCTGACAAACCAATCAGTGGAATTCAGGTTTGGGTCATTAGCGTTGTAACATTTGGGCTTCTCTCCTACAAAAATCAAATTATCAATAAATAAATGTGCATGAAAAGCATATGGACATTTTATTAGGAGACAGCAAATTTAAAAAATATATATTTTTTTTAGTTAGCAAATTTATCCCTTAGCTTATCTTCTTCTATAAACCTCCTTCTCTAACATGATTTCAACATTTCAACCAAGCCTGGACCAACCAAACTTGGCTGTAAGCTCCATGCCCATCTGGTTTAACACACAACAAACTAATTAAGCAAATTCGTTTATTTGTAATAAGCATAAGTAGCAAAATACACATGGCTATTACATATTATGCCTTTTATGAAATAATTATAGCTATGTTTCTAATGCTTTTTGAATGCATTATTATTTGCTATGAATGTTTTTATAAATTACTAAAAACATGACCTTAAGTAAAGTGGTATCACATTTTTAAAATTTGCAATAGGCATAAGCAGTTAAATGTTGTTTAACAATTTCGCTTCAAACTTTCCATGATAAAACATTAAACATATGAATGAATGAGTTCATAAATATCCTCAACATGAATGTATTAAATACTGTAAATAAATATGTATTTTCTAAATATTTAAATTTAAATTTTGTAAATTACCAGAAAACTTTGTCAGTTAACATGAAGCTTTGACATTCAATTATAATGCAAGAAAGCTCATTCTAGAAGTATTCCCCTTATAAACATTTATAAATGTTTAACCCTGAGCTTCTCAGCTCTGCTTTGTTTGGATTTCATTCAGGATCTTTCTTTTCTTTACAAAGTAGCAAGAATTATAACCGTGGCAAGAAATCATTTATACAATAAATGAACACATTGTAAGCACATACAAATGATACTTAAATTTTGTAATTACACTTTATGAGTGTTTAACTTTTTGTATAATTGTAGGAAAAAAACATGATTTATACTAAGGTACAGTACCAAAATCAGGGTAAATAAGGATGACTCACCTATGCTGAGATAGCTCATAATGGTATTGTACACATCCGCCTGGTTGAAGTCTTTGCTGCTATAATTGAAACCAATTCCAAGGGCTGAAACACTGAAAGATCACAGACAGAACATGCTCAGAAATCAGACGTCACATTTTCTTAAAGCTGCAGCAATGACTGATGTCACAGTGTTTCCCAATCTGGTCTTCTGGGCCCTGCAGCAAAAATATTGACTGAGCAAAAATATCAACTGCCTGGCAGGGAGCTTGGAGGGAGCAAAAATGTGGACTATCTGTGGGTCCCAGAGGACCGGGTTGGGAAACACTGGCTTAAGAGAAAAAAATCAGTGCTTACAAGTTCTGAAATGCGAGGCAGCTGGCATTGAGCATTACGGTGGAGCTGATGAGATCCTTGCTGAGAAACTCTAAGTACTGATTCAGGCTTAAAGCCTTAAAGCAAGCGTTACTTGCGCTGCTTATGGCTAAAGGCCAAACACATGGTAGGATTTTTTGTCTCACATTATCCGGCATCTCTTCCTGTTAAAAAAAAAAGAAGAAGTAATGTTACAAGTAGATAGACATTTAAATTTCATAAACCTCCCTGAATTAATAAAGATATACTGTATATATTACTAGGTTCTTAACAGTCCTGTTTCATATATAAATACACACAGTGAAATCCACTTGTAGTGATCACGTATGTCTGGGTGAAATTGATAACTGTGGGCAGGTTATCATGGTAACCAATTTTTTTATTCTTTATGTCTCAGGTAGATTACCACCTAATTGACATTTGTATATTTATTGCATGAATACGCAGTAATAAAATGGACAGTGTCACTATTTACTTAATTTTATTGACGATTTCAAAATACAGTGCAACTGTTTCAAACAAAACACCTACGGTCTCCAGGAAATCACATGTCCTGTTGTAGTGACTAAGAAGAGCACATAGTGCAGTGTTACTGTCAATGATGTTTGGTTGCCTGAGAAGGCTGCCGAGGTCAGAAGGAGACATGGAGCTAATTAGCTGTAAAATAGAGACGAGATAGACATGATCAGAATTGAGGAACATTTCCCGTAATCCCTAAGGGTACAAATATAAATGGCAGTACAAAACATCTGTTTTTATCTGTTTTCATTTACCTGTGATGTTTCAGACCCTGGCATCAAAGAAAGTATCGTACTTAAAGGTGGGAATGGAAACCCAAGGAATAAGCCATCCAGGAATGAGTAGAAGCTGTTGTGTGAATAGCAACGTAGCGGAATTGGTCCTGGGAGGGTAATGAAAATTTATGTTACTGTTTACAGTAGATGCATTTTTATTTAAACAATGGCAAATAATGTGGCTGTTAGTTTTATTTGCAGTGCTATATTGGTTTTTACAACCAATATACAAAGATAAGCATCCAATGCAATGTAATATCTAACTTCCTACAATCCAGTCTGACAAACAGACACATTTATGGTGTTTAAACTGGAGAAAAAGAATGGACATTAAGTTATAATTATAGTATAAATCACTAAACCAGTCATTAAACGCAAAACAAACAGGGCGTTTCATTTATATGGAACCCCTTCATAGATGAAGGGTGTCTGTACTCAGTACCGTAATACCTTTTTGTAAACTCAGTATCTGATTGTAGATTTCATTTTGTGTCCCATTTTGCAGGGTAGAGCGTACAGAGTTAAGCTGCTGAATTCTGAAAATTCATAAAAATACAATGAACGTGAGGTTAAGGCAGTGAGAGAAAAGATGTCAATCCTAATTTAGGTGTGTATATCTTACACAAAATAGCCATTAATTTTTGTAGCTGGATATCAATTTTCAGATTACTTTGTTGTCATTCATCACTACTTGTATAACCCACTGCAACACATGCTGCCCCCAGTCAAGCTAAATTAATGACATTTACACAACTGATAATGGGTAAAATTGCTAACGTGCTGGAGATGTACTACCATGAAAATCAAGAAACATGAGCTTACAGTGCTTGTATAGTTGTGCAGCTCCTGTTTTCAAAAACATTAAATAACGGTGCCACTAAATCCTCTGTCATGTTTATTAGCAGGGGATCAATTCTGAAATGCAGCCAGTACAAAACTTCAGTGTCACTAATGGACTGTCCTGAAAGGATGCCTCTCTGCAAGACTTGCTGGAGCATTGCAGAGAGCACAGAGGATGGAAATGTACTTTCTTGACCCTGAAAGTGAGAGACGTATAACATATCTATCAAACATGGACAGATTTATCCTGCTGCGACTCAAGAGAGTTCATGATGAGGAAATCAAAAATTTCCTCAGGAATACATCATGGTATAAGACTACAAATGTATTATGTCAGGACTGGTCCCAGTCTTGCACTGTTCTGTATAGCCCTAAATTAATGTGCATGAAAAGCACATGGAAATTTTATTAGGAGACATCAAAACTAAAAAATAAAACAATTTATTTTATTGTTAGTTTGCTAATTTATCTTTTAGTTTATCTTCTTCTCACAAACCTTCTTCTCTAAAATGGTTTCAACCAAGCCTGGACCAACATAACTTGCCAGTCTGGTCTAACACATAATAAAAACTAATTACACAAAATACACATGCCTACAATGTGCTATGGCTTTTGTTAAATAATTAAAGTCATGTTTATAATGCTTTTTGAATGCAGTTAAATGTTGTTTAACAATTTCCCTTCAATCTTTCCATGATAAAACATAAAAAATATGAATTTATACGTTTATAAATCTACTACTATTACTTTCTAAAAGATTTTTATGTTAAACAAGAAAATATGTAACTTTGTATAACAGTAGATATAGTGCAAACATGATTTTGTTGGAGGAACCAAAGTCAGTATAAATAAAGATGACTCATGTATCGTAAATCATTTCAATGTATGGCCAGCAGGTGTCGCTGGTCATCCCATTTTTCAAACAGTTCCTAGCCTTGGCATTGTTTCATTTCTATTGTGTCCCTCTACTCCCTGGGCTACTGTGTGGCTGAATGGGCTAAGTGGGTGGCTGCTCCTTGTGCTTTTGTAGGGCTCCTTGTTTTGTTCCTTGATCACTTTTCTCTTTTTGTGTCTAGTTTTGTAATTATGTCCTGTTTCACCCGTGTTCCCTTTGTCACCAGTACAGTCGTCCCTCGCCATTTTGCGCTTCGACTTTCGCGGCTTCACTCTACTGCGGTTTTTTCAAATACATTTATTCATTAAAAAGTTGATAGACAGTGAAAATGATACAGCGCGCGCTCGGTTGTCTGAGTCAATTATGCACCTCTGTTTTACAATTAAAATTAAAATTACTGTACGTATGGACTGTAGGCCTATGTATTTGAGCACCCCCGCAAATCCTTCAACGCCAGGTGCAGCCGAATAATAAAGAAATAAAGAATCCTACTTCACGGAAATTCATTTAACGCGGTAAAGTCTAGAACGGATTAACCGCGATAAACGAGGGACGACTGTACAGCCATAGTCCGAAGTGTTTCATTGATTGCAATTACCCTCACTTGTTCCTTGTTGTCCTTAGTCTTTTGTTTTGTGGTGCTTATTTATGTCCTTGTTGTAGCCCTTGTTGTCATGTGGATTTAACTGCCTGCCCTTTCTTTATTCTATACACCTGTAATCCAGTAACCGATTATCCCCAAACCAGCATTTCTAGTACCCTAGCTACAATGTTAGTATAGTGAGGATTAAGAGATTTATTTGTCCAATATGACATCACTTGCTCTTTGGTATGACTGTTACATTGTCTTAGTATAACAATGCAATTATGCAAGCATTTTTGTATCTGTATTTGATTACCTGTATGACTCCACAGAAAACAGAGAGGAAAGTTGCTAACTGGAAATCATTCATATAACTCATTAAAAGATTGACATCTTTAGGGTTCTTCAACAGCCCAGGAGTACAAGCAACCTCTGTTAACTGTTCCAAAGTCAAACCACCCAGGGCATTCAACTGAGGAGCACAAAAAAGACACTAATGTTAAATATGCAGCTAAACACTGAACTATCTAACCAATTGCTGGCAAATAGTTTGTATAATAGAAGAACAGTTCATATTCAGATATTTTTTCTATTCTAATAATCTGCTTTTAATCCTGTTTTAAAACTGGTTAATTAAAAAGTTATGGCTTCAGTAAGGCATACCGGAGAGAAGCTACTCAGCAACTTCTGCAAAGCTGACACAGATGCAAACACTGAAAAATTGCCAAAATTGTTTTCAAGCCACTCTGCATTGCTAAGTGTGTTAGATATGCATGCAGCATCTGAAAAGAATGACATAATATTTTTATGTATACATGGGATACTTAAGAAAAACACATGAATATAATGATAATAAAAGAAATTTAAAAAGTTGTGTAGTATATTTTACATTATCATCTAGAGAAATGTAAATTGAACTATAGAATACTGAGCATATATTTTTCTGATAACTGGTGTTAAAATTGATCCAACAGTTGGGAATAATATTATTCATTAATGAAAAATATATAAAAACTACAATAATACATACCTGACCTATTAGATTGAGACAGGAATACCGTTATAAAATCCTGGTAAACTAAAAGCTGCTGTTTTTCGCTCATTTCTGAAAATTTATTACTGAGGCTCTTCACACTTAAGGAGAAAAAAGGCTTTTGATTACTCGTCTTTGAAAATTACATATCCTTTATATATATATCAAAAGTAGATTTGTTTGACATATATAAATGTGCTGCTCTTAAAAAGCTGCTAATGTCACATTTCAAAATGCCTTTGTAACAGTGAAAAATGCATTATTGTCCTGTACACAATAATGGCTATACATACACAGCCTGGTAGGTCTCACAGCTGAAGTTCTTTGTGCTGAGACAGGATAGAAACTCTTCAGACACTGATGGCACGAAGGGGTGAAGTCTCCTCTGGAACCACTGGTTGATAAAGCTGATGTTTTGGAGTTGTGTACTGCTGAAGTTATTAATTCTGACTTCTTCGATTGCATCCAGAACTGATGTTGCTATGGAATTACTGATATGAGTCTGCTGTAAAAAGGAAAGATGTTATCAGTGAGAGACCTTAAGGCCACTAAAATCTATCTTTAAAACCATGGACTGCAGTATAAAAGGTAAAACAATACTTTTCGAATTGCTTTAAATTGCTCTAAATACTAACTTTAATCCTTTTTGAATTGCTTTTCTCACTTATTGCTTTATCTAATGCAAATATTTTCTTTCAATGAAGCATAAGAATGCAGTTTACCTCAACTGAATATGAATCCAGGGCTTCATCCAAAACAGATGAAAATTTGGTAAAGAGAATTTTCCAAGTGGCTACTGAGTAATTCACGTTACTAGCTAGTTCACATGTCAAGAGATTGACCAGATTTTCCTTTGTGAATTCTGCTTCCTTCAAGAAAATAAGATACATTGACATCAAGTAATTAATAATGCTCTTGTAAAAAAAAAAAAAAAAACAATAAATATATTCAGAGAGTGCTGGAGCTTGGTCCAATTAAATCTGTGCAAAAATTTAAAGGAAACCTACTGAAGAACAGACATAGTCTGCAATGCTGATATTACACAGCGTTGGCAAAGCAGTCCCTGATGTCACAGTTTGTGTAAATGCACTCCTATGAGAAAAACATGACATAAAAGTATATAAAATTGAAACTGATGTCATGATGCTTATATCATATACTCCAAAGAAAAAAAAACGTTTAAAAAACCCACCATTCAAGTTCAGCACAAACGCTCGATTCTGAAAATAAGTTACATTAGAATTTAGATCATAGGTAAATTCAAGAAACTCAAGTAAATTATCATTTTGTATAACACATGAATGTAATGATAGCTAAAATAGACCTACCATTTACTGGTGTGTCTTCACACTAAATAAATAAAATAGAGAAACACATCTTTCATTTTTAAATTTTTTAATTTAAAAACAAACAATAATACATAATAATAAAACATAAAGATTTTTACAGATAAAGTACAATTATTAAAAAGATATCTGAGCACTAAAGTGCTATGGGGAATACTGAAAAACTTACCTTGACAATAGGGGGCGGCACACACACTTGATGGATAAGACATGGAACAAGTCAGAAAGTTTAATAAGAAACAGACCTTACAACATGTAAAATTCTTATTTAATAGATGTATGTCACCTACTTGTAGCTCTATCTATTAGCAGGACCTTGGTCAATTTAACACCATAGGTAAGTGTTTCAGGAAGGGATCTTATGCTTTTGTCGAGCCCCAACCATCTAAGAAAATATGAAATGAAAAGTGTTTTTTTTTTTGCCAGCATGTTAGTATTTGGTGAAACTCAGATAAAAATGCGGTTTACTTACATGGCATCATATGAGTTACAGCTGATATTCCTGGGGATGACATCCAAACTGCTAGGTTGAAGGCTAGGCATCAGCGCCATCAAATAGCGTTGGAACCAAAGTGCAAAGTCGTTTGGTTCAAAGGTATCAAATCTGGGTGCCAGTGCTGTCAACGTCAGGTTTAGCATGATATCCCTTACAGCAGAGTTTTCGATGACGGTTAAGTTTCTCTGAAAAGAAGACAAAAATTTGATTTTGAACACTGTCCACATAATTGCCAAAAGCCATGAATGTCATGGGAAAAAATGACATATCAGAGCCAAAGTCTGAGAAAACGATATCTGATACAAAGGTATTTACCTTCTCAGCGGCCTGAACAAAATCTGCAAAGAACTCATCTAGCTCCCTGTCATCTGGAGAGGTCAAGAAGCTGTCGAAAACAGCAGTCACGATGGTTTCATTCTCTAGAGCGTTATTAAGAGGATCGAATAACAGTTCCAGTTTTTGTTCTGGAGACAGGGAGTCCAGAATTTCCAGCTACATAGAAAAGGAAAGAAGAAAGAAAAACTCAAAATAACACAGCGCTTGCAATCTACATTGGAAATTCTTCTAAAACTGGGAAAAAATGCTGTTACTATACCATTGTAATATTAAAGTCCTTCAGGTCTGAGTAGCTGACATATTTGGAGAAATTTCCTAAATTGATGGACAGCCACACGGCATCATCCTTCTCTTTGCAGGCTAAAATGCATAGGAACAAAACTGCAGGGTCAGCACATTTCTATATATACCATGAACATATCATCACTCAGAACGACCAAATGCAATTGATGTTGAGAAGATTAATGAAATGTGAAGCCAAAACCTGTGCATATTGATTACCCTGATCATTGTTTTGGCTAATAAAGTGCTTGAGGTATTCCACCAAAACCCCAGTAATTTCCTCGATTTTTTGATACGGCATTTTGTCGATGACTTGGTTCAATCCAAGAATACTGTAAAAAAAAAGCAGTGCTTTATGTTCTCTGTTCTATCCACTAGACTCATTGATTTTTAGAATTAAGTCAACAGTCCACTCACATGACTTGGTATTCGGTGCAATTGACGTAAGAGAGTGTGATGGAAAGCATCTCGCCGGTGAAGCTGGGAAGGAGAACTGTCAGCTTGACAGTGAACCAATCGACCCAGTCCTGCCAATCAAATTCATAGAAATGTTCCCTGATGACTGAGAAAGTCCGATTCATCATGACATCCCGTGCAGCAGGTGTGATATCTGGAACCTGGACATGCACAAAATAGAAAACAATACATCAGTTCAAAAATTCGTGTTTTTACAATCTATAAATTTTAGCATTAACTGAACATAAACCGAGCATAAGAAAGTACATTAATGCAAAGTGCTGCATTTTGTCATATTTGAACCATTTCACTGGTTTCTGGGTTTCTACTTGAAGGCAGTCACCTCTGAATTCTGAGCCAGTTTTGTCAGAAATTCATCAACATTATGGAAAGAGTTGTTTTCCTCCAGTCTGTTAAATATAGCCTCAGCCTGATTTGTATTCAATTCCTTAGTGTTCAGTACCACTTCTGCTATTTGTGTGGGTGATAATTGAGGCAGTGAATCAAACTGTAAATAGAAAGATAAAAGAAATAGTTATAGCTTTAACAGTTGGCAATGTAATTCAAAATGAGAATTCTCAATTAAATATCAGATAGAATGCTGGTTTCACTTACACCAGAGAAATTGGGGTTTAGGCTGACAAGATCTTCTAGAGGTGCAAAGACAGAAAAGGCCCCAAAGTTCTTTTGAAGCCAATCTAAACTGCTGTTGGTGTTGGAGATACACGCACCATCTGAGGCAAAAAAAGAGATACTGAATACATAAGTTTTATAGCATCTACAACTTGAAAATTGTATTTTTCTGAAACACATGCAGTATGACAGTGTATGACATATTAAGAACTAGGACTAAACTTATAAATATACCTAAAGTGTCATTTCTTGATAGGAAGGGGTAGATGAAAAGGGTATACACAGACTGTTGTTGCAGTGTGTTCATGGATGAAACTTGGTCACTCAGAGCCTTCACACTTAAATGCAATAAAAATGATAGTAAGCAATACCATAATATTTACATCTTCAAGGGTTAATACTGCACTGAAAGTATTCATGACAAGGAGTTTGTACGTACACAGCCTGATATGTTTCACAGCTGAAATTTTTTGTGCTGAGACAAGATAGAAACTCTTTAGACACTGATGGCAAGAACGGGTGAAGTCTCCTCTGGAACCACTGGTTTATGACATCAACATTTCTTAGGGATGTGGAGTTAAATTTGTCAATTTTAATTTCACTGATCACATCCAGCACGTTGGAGATGGACAGACTGCTGAAGCTGATATTCTGTTAACATAAAATGAATATATTATTTCTTCTTCTTTTCATCAAACTAAATATGTCTTTCCATCCTTCCATTTATCCATCCATGGTTCTATCCAGTCATCCATACAACATTTTATTTCATAATTTCTTATCCCATATATGGTTGTAGTGGCTTTGAAGACTATCAGAGAAGTTACAGGTAACAAACAAGGGGACACTCTGGATGAGATGCCAGTCTACTGCAGGGCATACAATCACAGACTGTGGTCAATTTACAGACAATTTATTTGACTATGTTCTTAGACTTGGAAGGAGAACCAGAGTATCAGGAACAAACTTGCGTGAACAAAGAATGTGCAAACACTATATATAGAGCTATAGGCTGGAATTCAATCCTGGAGATGTGAGGTCACAGTGGTAACCATTAATTATTAAAATGACTTTGCTCACCGGGTTGTAGTACAAGTCGAGAATTTCATCCAGTTGCCCTGAAATTTTGTTGAAGAATAACATCCAGATTTGCTTTGAAGAACTGATGTCATTATGCAATTTGCATTGTAGGAGTTCAACGTAATCATGTTGTGACATGTCTGTCAACTATACAAGAAACAGAAAATCATGAAATTTTTCAATGTAACAGACATTACATTTGTATACAACTTTAAATTTGTGAAGGAATCTATAAATCTATAAACCTAATTGTTTTCAGAAAAATTGTTGTATTAAAAAAATCTTTAAACATTTCATACCGGCATACAAGCATATTCTTCAATACTGTATTTGCAGTGTGTATTTGCAATGTTATGTGCAACAAACTTGTTATATATCGCTTTGCTGTAAAAATAAAATAAAACAAAATTTTAAAAGTCAGCAAACAGAATCTACAACAAAAAAATAAATAGGCGGATATTATCTAGAAACATAACGTAACATAGCATGTAGCATAAACACTTTATATATATATATATATACTTATATCTATATATATATATATATACATACACACACACACACACACACACATATATATATAATCAAAATTTATACAAATGTAATTAATATTTAGTTTACTCAGTTTTGAATTTACTCACCTGTTGATTGCATTGCAGATTTTGGTCCCTGAAGGACAATCGACAAATTAATATGGAATTGGTAAAGATAATGTATGTCCTTTAACTGGTTAATTTTCTATTTATATTTTATAATAAAAAGGCAATGTAACAGTTTCATGTAATATACCCATTGTTGAAATACAGCAGCACCCAAGAAAGAGAGCAGTATACAAACCACATCCTATTTATATATCACATTCAGATATGATATAGCTAGTATTTAATATATGTGTCTAAATGAAACTTACCATTAACTCTTGTCACAAGGCACTGAGGATAAAAATCATAACAATTAAAATATTTCAAATTAATATAGACACATGAAGTGATATCATTTTTTTTTCTAAAACCAATATTAATTAACTACAGCACTGTGGAAAAGTTGTAGGCATCCAAAGAAAATTAGGTTTAGATGATCTTCATGTTAGAGTAAAACTAAGCTATTATGCCTGTCAACATGTGTTAGCTTAGCCATTTCAAAACGTCTTTTAAAATCACCCCAGTAAGGAACCATTCAATACAAACACATATCTTTTAACTGAACCACTATCACACCTCATATTGGTAATCAATATCTCATTAACTTTTTCAACTAATTAAACTGAATAATTAAACGAGCTTGTGGTGTGATAGATATCAGTAACTTTTTGGAGACCAGAAGAAATTCTTACTCATTTTTATTGTGTTATTCTTAATTTGCATATGTTCTAGTGCTAAATTGTGTTTTTTGTTCTGAGCAAAAGTGCACTTATCACACAAATAAATAGCTTGAAACATTTCTTTTGACTGCCTATGACTTTTGTACAGTACAGTAGGTATAATTGACCATAGCTTTCAAAGACACTTTACCTTTTCTGTGGCCACTAGGCAATCTACAATGAGTAAAAAAAATTTTACCAATTAATGCAAAATCATACATGCAGTCGATACAACTTAGACTTCATAAGAAACATTTCAATATTCATAATCATCATTGTTAATAACAAATAGGTTTTAACACTAACCTTGTGGCGCTGAGTAAATTAACTGCTCCTTTATTTTAATGATAAATGACTCTATATCAGTAGACACTGCCGACAAACCCACATCAAGGTTCATGAAGCTGAAGAACAAAAGAGATAAAATCAGTATTTATTCTGCTGTAAAGGTACGTGAAACAATTCAAATCCAGAGTTTGCTGTGTAACTTACATGGTTCTGTAGGAGTCACAACTGATATTTACCTGCAAAAAGGTAAAACAAAATATAATATGGTAAATTATTTCAATGAACAGTTAACATTCTATAATGAATATTGTATATAGATACTGATTCAGAATACCTTCTGGGCTAAAGAAACAAGGTTTAGCAGGCATTTTACAAAATCCGTCTCCTTTGGTGATTCCAAGAAGTACTCAAACACCGTGTTGATGACGACACTTGGCTTTTCAGGTTCATTATAGGGAAAAACAATCAACTCCGCTTTCTGATATGGTGTGAGAACATCTAGGACTTCCAGCTGAGAGAAAATTATGTTTGTTATTGTAACATTATGGCTTTAAATGCACAAATATGAATACTACCTACTCGTAACCAGGTAATAACTTTTACTAATCCAACATCTCCAATTACACTCAAGCCAGGAAAATAAATCCAACACTGAGCATTTACTTTTAATGTCATCATGCAGTCAAACATATTTATTGCGCAAACAATGAGATTTTGGTGGGAAACACCATTACCACAACAAATAATTATTTTCTTTTTAGTATAAATTGCTTTAACGATGTGATGAAGGCTTCTGTACTAGTTTAATTACAGTAATATATATTTTGTTTTGACATATTTTATATACGTGGGTCTTGATGCTAAGACAATTTAAATTATTCATTGATTGGTGCTTAAGTTTTGTCAATATGCAGTACTGAGCTATGTCATTTAATACATACTATGCATGTGCTTAGATATTTCTTCTCAATAGTTTATCCATTTTTTACAGTTTATCTGTTGTGCTTTCAAAAATACTTACTGCTGAGAAGTTTTTGTATAACTTATAAAAATCCTCTAGATGTGCAAAGATGGAAAATGCCTGAAAATTCTTAATCAGCCATTCCTTACTACTGCTTGTTTGAGAAGTGCAGCTTGGATCTGTAATTTACACAAAAATTGAGAATACATAAAAATATCCAGTATAACATAACTAAGATGACATTCATAAATGTACTCATATTTTCATATGAAACAATTGGTAGTGTTTTGAAATGACATATTCCCATTTTTAAGGAAGCTGCTACCTGAGATGTCTTTCCGTGACAGAAAAGGGTAAATAAAATAATTATAGACAAACTGTTGTTGGATTTCATCCATTTCTGAGATGTGATTATTCAGGTCCAGTACACTGAAAGTAAAAAGAAAATTATAGAGAAACTGGAGTTCTTAACAGCAGATTTCTTAGAACACAAGGTAGCTGAAAATAAAAATGGCAAGATGCAACATATATGTAGGTCTATTTAGCTTAAAAAAATGATAAAATGTTCCAGTATGTAAAGTATACTACTACTACTACTACTATACTACTACTACTACTAATAATAATGTTAACATTATCTGTTATGCATTTCCATACTACTTGCAAAAATCTGCAGATGCGCCTTTTTCCAGCATGTGTTTGAAGAATATACAGTATTATGCAGAAGTCTTAGGTAGGCATAGAAAATGTTCAAAACTGTTAATCTCATTAGTAGATTAGTACATTTGCTCAGAAAAAAAACATCAAAAATATGCAATGTAACAGTAACACAATAAAAAATGAAGAAGAATTTCCTTTGTTCTCCAAAATGTTACTGATATCTTGTTGGATGGCTAGATGAACACCGCTTCAGTTCCCAAACCTCTCCTCAATGATTCAATAAATTTCACCAACAGCTCAATTAATTAATTAAATTAGTTAAATGATTCAATGAAGTATTGATTAGCTAAACAAGATGGGGTAGCGGTCGAGTAAAAAAAAATACATGGGTATATGGGATGGTTGCTGCAAATTATGAGGTGACTGTAGGAGAGGTTTGGAAATGGCTGACACACTTTGGCAGACATAATATTATAGTTTTACACCAACATGAAGATCCTTTAAACATTATTTTCTTTGACTGCCTAAGACTTTTGCACAGTAGTGCGATGCAGAATATACATACAGGGCTTGAAAAGTCTGACAGCTGAAGTTCTTGGTGCTGAGACAGGAGAGAAACTCTTTTGACAGTGATGATAAATGTGGTCTGAGTTTGATTTGGAACCAGAGTTGGATGAAATTCACATCCTGAAGATTTTCCTCCGTAAAGTGTGTTTGAGGCAGTCCAAAGATGTCTTTTATGTAGGAGCCGACAGACATAAAATTCTGAAAGGATGTCAGAAAATTATAAGTAGATTATAATGTCTGTCTTTTGGTTGACAAAACCTTTTGGATGTTTGACCAACTTCTAGCATATAAGAATGATGCAAAAATACTTCATACTACACATATAACTAGCATAGGCTTAACATTATATTAATAATAATGAAATATAATTGAAATATCATACCAATGAGCAGTAATTTTCCAACAGTGAATTAAGAGCTTTGGAGAGTTCAATGAGTAATGCCACAATGTTTTCTTCAGTAAGGCTCAAATTAGCATAGGAGGCACAATTTATAACATAGGCCATGTTTTCAATTGCATTGGGTATCTAAAATGAAAAGTAATACGGTGAACAATCATGTCAAGTTAGGATATGTTAAAGTAATTATTAAAGTCAAGATATGTTAAAGTAATTATTTAAAGACAACTGTGATATATAGAATATCAAAATGCATTAATGTTGATGCTCAATCTATGTTATGTATGCCTCCTGAAATAAGCTGGAATTGTATATATTTTCTTTGAAACTGAAAACAAAACTCATAATCATACTAAACATGCTTTCTACTATTTACATTCCATTTTGTAATATACATTAAGGAATGTCAGTACTCACTGAGCAAGATACCCCTACAGAAGAAATACTACAATCATCTGCTGGACCAGGCAGTTCTTGATCAGCAACATTATTTAAAGAGCTGTTGTATGAAATGATGAATAACCCATCAACAATAGTGTATCAAACATTTTTTTGAGTAACTGATATTTGAATATGCAGTCTATATTACAGCATGATTTTCATACTTACAAAACATGGTGGAAAATTTCACTAAGTTTTCCAGAGATCATAGTTTGATTGTGAGGCAGGAACCGGTTTAAAAGCGGTACTGCTACATGCAAGAACCAGTCATTAACATTAGTGATGTCAAAGTGGATCGGTGGTGGAGTGGGCGTGGTGTTATCCCCATCAGTAATGTTTGTAACAAAGTGACTGGCTAGTTCTGATAAAGTCCAGTTCATGATTGCCTGGGTGAGTGTAATACTCTTCATTGAAGAAAAATCTTCCTGAGAAAAGTAAAATTCAAAATGTAAATATAGTATTATAAAGAAAATTTATGAAAAATATTACTATTGTACTACTAACATTATTACTATATATGTTATATGATCATTATATATACATTTGCTATATAATTAATATTAAATATTAAAAGAATGAAATTTAAAATGCAATGTCTAACTTTTGCACTTTTTGTTAAGTTGCAGTGCATGGCCATTAGCAAAAAGAAAATGATTATCTTAAATCTGATAAGATTTAGAAAATGCATCATAATTGATATTTTAGGTATTGTACCTGGTAAACAAGTTTTTAAGGCACACAGATGCTTGTTATATTTATTCCACTATAAATAAACCATGATATTAATCACTTTACCTGCTTAGTGAGAGACACAAACTTCTTGACAAAACTCCCCACTGGTTTAAAGAAGGTCAGAAACCCTTTGAATCTCTGAAAAAAAGGTTATTTATACATTTTAAACACTGCTTTACAATTAATATTTTGGTATTAACTGGATGTTCTAAACAAGAACATACTTAAAACTATGCAAAAGTGAAAATAAATTTGAACTGTTATATTATGTATAAAGTTCTACTGTGTCTGCTTTTCATCAGTACACATCTCTGCGCCATTTGAGAGGTTCTCTGATTCATGAAATCTCAGTACAGCCTCTCCCCAGGTTACGATGGGGTTACATTCTGATAAACCCATTGCAAAATAAACAACCCGTATGGCAAAAATGCATTTTAATACAGTTCACCTAACATAACAAACATCATAGCCTAGCCTAGCCTACCTTAAACATGCTTAGAACACTGTAGCCTACAGTTAGGCAAAATCATTAACACAAAGCCTATTTCATAATAAAGTGTTGAATATCTTATGTAATTTACTGAATAATGTACTCAAAGCGAAAAACATTTACCCATTGTAAAGTCGAAATATCGTAACATGGACCATCATTAGCCAGGGATATAGACAGATCTTTGGACTGCCTTTGATATGTTTTATTGGGAACAGGTTTGCAACAACATTTTTTAAATATTAAATTTGTTGACTAAATATTGTTTCCCTTTTTTTTTATATATGTAATAGAAAAGTCCCATTAGTATAGTTGGCATTTATTCTATTATTCATTGTTACTTTTTATGTAAGATATCATTCATTATTAAATTATAACATAAATAAATTCTGCCCCAAAAAATAAAAGGTATCTGGTACATGCTAGCTACCTGAAGTGTATGAATTGCAAGACACAAAAAAAAACTTTATGTTTTTAGAATTATTACCACACCAACCAAATATCAAATCCTATTGAATATTTGAATATTATCTGGTTAAACTGTCTGATTATTTTAATATTAATATGCCATCTGTCTGGCAGACAGTCACAGTTAATTATTAGTGTTACATTTCCACCTTCTCAAATTGACAATATACCAATACAAAGCATTAATGAATTAAATATTTTCATGTAGAGAAAAAATTATATGATATTCAATGAAATCATTTAAAAAATGAAATGATATTAAAATTTACCTTGATATAAAAACATTCAGAGTGGAAGTGTCAATATTTATTTCTTACAGCAGGAATACATTTTGCACAATAGTTCAGTGTTAATGACCTTCAATGACATCCTAATACTGTCAGCATACCTTCTGAAGTCTCCTTTCTGCAGTAGTTGCTGATACTGTGGTAGCCAGGGTTGTGGTCTGTGGGGTTGTTAAGTCAGTCAGATGCTGGTTTTCAAGGAGAGGGTGTAACATGCTCTGAAATACCAGTCTGAATTTGTCATTATCCAGAGCGGAAAGCTCTGGGTGCAAGAGAAGTTCAGCTTTTTGCTCTGGAGTTAGGATATGCAGAACCTCCAGCTGCAGACAGAAACAATAAAAGATATAATAGTATTTTCCACCTAAAACTGATATTTACATAGAACTGCATAAAACTGGAATATTACATATATCATTTTATAACTACTTACTCCTCTAAAGAAAAAGTTCAATTGTGTGAAGTGTTTAAGGCGAGCCATGGCAGAAAATGGCCCAAAATTCTTCAATAGCCAGTCTTCACTGCTATCTTCTGGAGATACACAACCTGTACCTAGTACACAAAGAACACTTTACATTTTTGCTCCATCACTCTTTAACTTAACAGACAAACATACATAAATGAACCTCACCTTCTGTACTGTTCCTAGATAGGAAAGGGTACATGAAAGACATATAGATCCACTTTTTCCTTACTGGGTTCATGTCTGAAAAATGTGGGCCCAGTTCTTGTACCCTGTCAGAATTAAGAATATCATGTTAAAGTTATGTAAATGAAATTATAACCTACAATATGTATTGCACCTTACAGTGTAAAAAATACATACATATTCTGGTAGGTCTCACAGCTGAAGTGTTTGGTGCTGAGACATGATAAAAATTCCTGGGATATTGTTGATAGGAGTGGCCTGAGCTTCACTTTAAACCATGTCTTGACAAAGTCTGTATCATTAAACTTATCGGCTTCAGGGTTCAGATTCATAGCATCAGACAGCTGAAGGATGGAACCATGGCTAAAGCTTGATCTCTGTTGGAAAAGATACACAGGCAAGACTAGTTACATTTCTTCATGCCAGAAAGTCAAAAAAATTTGTGAACAACAATTCACAAAGTATCAAATATATTAAAAGCATATGAAGCAAGGCATTAGGGCTGGTCCTATTCTATGTGGCACCGTAACAGAAACAGAAAAGGGTGCAAAGACAGGGACAACCAAGAATACTCTGGCCTTGTCTCATAAGAACTATACAAACGAGGGGAGGCCATTCGGCCCATCGAGCTCGCTTGGGGAGAAAGTCTCGATGTACTTCAGCTAACAGACAATGAATGTGTTGCACATTTCTGGGTGGAGCGTAACACCACAGTGTGTCTCTGCTGCCTTAACACTATCCGGCTGCAACAACCCCCCAAATTCCATTCTGGTCCTCATGGAAGTGACAAGCATCTGTCATTCTCAAATGTCCTTTGGGCCATACACAGCACACATTGCCATAAAGGCTCTTGCTGAAAATGAACAGATGTCTAGAAACAGGACATAACAACACAGCATTAACATGCAAGTTGTGTGTGACTCAGTCAGGGAAATCCTGGAGTGTCTGTTCCAAATTTCTTGTCCTCGTTGGTGCAATGACTGACCAAGACACTTGTCTAACTGGTAACCATTCTATACTTTTAATTGTGTAAATATGTGTTTTTTTTTAGTGGCAGTGATTGACAACTGGTTTGCAAAAATTCGTAGCAGCATACACTGTAACATAAGCTTCTTTGGACTATTCAGTAGATTGTATTATCTTTTATTAGCAATGCATTCTAAACTTTCATTCAATATTTACTCATATTACTAACATAAATTCACACAATATCTATTGGTTAACCATTTGAACCCTATCCATTTTTGAGCGTTTTTCTTTCCTTTGAATTTATGCTTATTACATTGCATGTACATGAATTAGCCACATGTGCTTTATTTTATTTATTTTTGTGTTTTGTTTTTAGGACATTCTGGTCAGATATATCATAATTTGATGTGCAAATGCTGACACAGTCTCCTTCCTTCTTATGAGGAAAAACTACTTATTGAAATTTCTCCATTTTAGTCTAATCTAATATAATTATTTGCCGGCAATTATACAATTATAATCTTATAAATGTTGAGATTAGAGTCTCTATGATGGGGACCTTTCTATGGCTTAGTATTATGAAAGAATACATGGTTAGTACCAGGTGGAAATGAATACAGTGCTTATAGCAATCACAATAAGCGGGTTCCACTCTAATATGAAAGGTACATGGTGTGCATTAATTGTCCCCCAAAGTTTAATGCTTAAAGCACACTTTACAGGACATGTCTGTGTCGTTTAGGAAAAGTATTGCGAAATTTAGCAAAAGTGCATGGTTATCTTTGAAGCACCGATTTTTAATTTTTTTTCCCTCCATGTCCCCTCCGGGGCTCGGTAGAGTCTAATGCTGAATGTTTAATGCTGTCGTTTTCTCGCCTATATACGCTATGACTGACAAAGTGAAATTTAATAAAACGAAAACCTTTTAGTTGGCATTTTACCCCCAAACAACAAACCAACGCTGTAGCACGTCATTGTGTTTACATGTAGGAGGTGTTCATATTACAAGATGGGCGGGTTCTGTTTCAACTGTTTTGTCGGAGCTCGACATCAGACATACACATTAAAACTTTTGTCAATAAATATTGCAAAAATATCAAGTAATTGTCCATTTAATGTGAATGATATTGATGTTTTATAGATTATTAGGGGTGCTTTTTCATGGAAAATGTTTAAAATATATGCCTCATTACACACATAATTACTCACATGGAATGCACAGGAATATTTCAGTGCACAATGTTGCGACTTGGAGGACCGGATCGAGTAAGTTCACTCAATTGTAAAGATATGCGATTCTTGTCTGTACGTTATACCTATCGAAAGTTACGAGCCTCAGATTAATGGGCGTGAAAATCAACGCATTTTGCATTTGTCGATTCTAAGGGTCAAGCATATATTGGTGTTTTCAAAAAGCCAAAAAAAAAAACTGAAAGCCAAAGCCCAAACAGTGTTATCTCGCACAACCTCCAGTGTTGCCAGGTCCTGCAAAAATCTCCAGGGTCTGCTCAACATCCGTTCTGAAACTAACCCAATATTTGAAATCCCAGTATACTATATTTCAAAGAAATAAACTGATGCACATTCATTTACATGTACGTAACAGTTTTATTATCCTGTGAATAGTCTATTAAATTTGCAAACTGCCCCAACGCTTCTGATATAGCCTATTTTAGGTTTATAATGGAATAATATAGATTTGCCGTAAGATTGCTTGCATGAGAATCTGAAAACGTGAGTGTCACGCCAGATGCGTTAGAGTTTGACAACCCTGCTTTCCCTGTGCCTATGTCTGACTTTCGGTGGCTAACAATTCAGTATAACTCAGCATTAGGAATCACTTGCATTCATAATAATTTCTTTTTCCACTTACAGTCTGTGGCCGCGGAACATTATGAAATCAGCCCCCAAATCCGCAACATCCTAATATTTACCCGTGAATCCATTTTCAATATAATCCAATTGGGCGGGAAAACCGCGGACCTGAGGCTCCTGACAACTTTGACGACCATGCATTGTTTATCACGTTAAATGCTGTGGGTGTCACTGAACTAAACAATTACTGAACATCCATCATCTATACTGCTTTATCCATCTGGATCACAGGGAAGCTGAAGCCAATCCCAGCATCATCGGGCAAGAGGCAAGGTACACCCTGGGCAAGCCTCCAGTCCACCATAGGGCCAACACAGACAAACAGCCACACACCTATGGGCAATTTAGAGTAGCCAGTTGACCTAATCTGCATGTCTTTAGACTGTGGAAGGAAACTGGAGCACCTGGAGAAAACCCATGTGTCATGGGGAGAACATGCAAACTGGCACTCTGGGTGACCCAGGGATTGAACCCAGGACCTTCTTGCTGTGAGGCAACAGTGCTAACCACTGCACCACCATGCCGTCAGGTAGTAAACAACTTACAGTAATTGTATTTCGGAAATACATGCAAAGTTAGAATTTGATGATTGCAACACACTCAACAAACATTGGGACAGAGGCATATTTACCATTGTGGTACATCACCTTTCCTTTTATTAACACTTTTTAGTTGTTTGGATCTGAGGATACTAATTGTAGTAATATTCTAGTCGGAAATTTTGTCCATTCTTGCATGATGTAAGACTTCAGCTACTCAACAGTCTGTTGTCCGATTCTCCTCTTCATGATCACCATACATTTTCAATAGAGAAATCTGGACTGACAGGTCAGTCAAGCTCACATACTCTGTGTCTACCAAGCCATGCTGTTGTAGTCCATGCAGAATGTGGTCTGGGATTGTCCTGCTGAAATAAGCATGGACATCCCAGGAAGAGACATCACCTTGATGGCAACATATGTCTCTAAAATCGTAATATATGTCCCAGAGTCAATGGTATCTTCACATACGTGCAATTGACCTATATGCCGTGGGCACTGATGCACCCATACCCTCATACAGTAGATCCTGGCTTTTGCACTTTTTGACGATAGCAATCTGGATGATCGGTTTCATCTTTGGCATGGAGAACTTGATGCCCATTATTCCCAAAAGCAAGCTGAAATGTGGACTCATCTGACCACAGCACCACAGTTCCACAGTCCATCTGAGATAAGCATGGGCCCAGAGAAGTTGTTGGTGTTTCTGCATAGAATTGATGTATGGTTTCCTCCTTGTGTAATACAGTTTCAAGTTGCATTTCTGGATACAGTGATGGACTATGTTAAGTGACAATAGTTTTGCGATGTACTCCCGAGCCCACACATTCAACAGTGGTTTCTGACCTCAATTTATAACTCTGCATATACAGACGCTCCACTACTTACGAATGAGTTACATTCCAAGCAGTTCGTAACTTGAAATGTTCGTAAGTCGTTATTCAACATCATTTTAAGGGTATACGCAAATACAAAGAACTAGGATGCTGGGAGTACGCACGCTACGCTGTTGCACGGTGGGAATAGTGGCCAGAAGTCATAGTAGACGGAATTGGTGCACAGAAAGAAAAAATTTATGTTGCGGACAGGAAATGGGAGCCCAATGAACACAATTTGGACTTACAGTCCTCTTCGTTCATATGTCTGAAAGTTCTGAAATTTAAAGTTTGTAAGTAGAGGATCGTCTGTATTTCCAAAATACAATTAAGTTGGTCAGTACAACTGCTGAAAATCTTTTCTTTGTACATTTGCTAGTTAAAGGTTCCCATGAATTAACATTTGTCTTTACTGCATTTTACAAAATATACCAACTTTTCTGGAAATTGGGTTTCTATTTTTAAGCAATAAAACAATTAAACAAACAACAAAAGAACAATTATAGTAATATTAAAATCTTAGTATTAATGTCTTATAAAATCTTATTAATGTCTTATAAAACAGGCCCTTTGATGTGATAATGAGTCATTATTTGTGTTAACTGGGTTAATTTTGATACCCCAATGTGACCCCAAGAGTATGACTCCTATGTGACCCCAAGAGTATGAGCAAAAATTATCGGTGTTAAAGGTGTCATAGAATGAAAATCTGACTTTACCATGGCATAGCAGAATAGGGAGGGTTCAGTACATGATACTGACATACTGTGATTCTCAGACACTATTGATCCCTCATTTAAATATAAATCCTGCCTATGTAAAAGAAGGTGGTAAAATGGGCTGATTCAAAAATTCTAGACTGTTATGTAAAAGTCTTACTGTAAGTACACCCTCAAACATAACATACACTAGCGCACTTTCAAGCCCAATGGATCTGCACAACCCATAACATTTTTTTCACTCTCAATTGGCATGTGTGCACAGTTTCCACAAGTGCACCAGGCAAGGAAAAAATATGTACTGACAGCTATTAATGTAAGGTTATTTATTTCTAGTATGCTGAAAAGGTACTGTAAGTATGTTTCCTAAAAGCTTCAGTTAGCAACTTACAAACTTGGAACTGTTCAGTAGCACAGTTCCAGCTATATAAGCTGATAATGTTATTAGCAACTATACTTTTGGGAAATGTACCCCAGATTTGTAGAGGTGCAGTTGAGAGTTGAGTGACTTAGCGGGCTAAGCCTCTGTGCTTATGATCAGAAGGCAGCTGATTCAAGCCCTGGCCTTGGCAGAATAGTCACATGTCTGCGAGCCCTTAACCTCCAGCTTCAGGGGAGCTGCACATTGGTTGAATCTGTGCTGTGACTATGGAGAGTAAAATGGGGCAGGTGAAGAGAAGGATTCTGATGTACAGTACTTAGCTGAACAAATATCTAATTGATCCATCCATCCATCCATTATCTATACTGCCTAATCCATCCAGGTCGTGGGGAAACTGGAGCTAATTATCTAATTGATACTGAAGTAAGAAAATTAAAGTAGAACTCAAAATTATAAACAGCACATTTACAAACTGCTCAGTTTGCTGTTTGGAGCTGATACAAATTGCATGACAAAACTAGCTGACTGAGATGCACAATAGTTACATGTTCTTGTTACAATGCTAAAAGCACAGGTATGAATATGCTAACATTGTACCTAGGCTGAAGTGGGAGTATTACAGTTACAAGTGACAAAGAAAAAAGTGTACACTACAAAAAATAATGCTAAAGAGTACAGTATAGTAAGTGTATGAACCAGTAACATAGTAGTTTACTATCATTATCAAGTATTACATACTGTACTGTAGGCAACACAGTAGGTTTATGTTAACATTAGCATCACCACAAACACCTGAGTAATGCTTTGTGCTACGACGTTACAAGGTGATAGGAATTTTTCAACTCGGTTTTAAATTCATGGGACCACTATCATAAATACGGTCCATTGTTAACTGAAACATCATTATGAGGCACATAACTGTAGGGATGTTTGTTCTATGTGAGTCTTCACAGTGCCTCACTGTCAGCCAGCCAATAAGAGCAGAGCTCATCATCATATTAATGTTAGTTATCAGAAACTTAGAATCATTTAGTTCATAAACAGTGCTGGCAGAAAACCCCATTTTTCACTAAGAAGAGATTCAGTACATCCCCTGTATTTACTTCTATGGGTTTCTAGGAGAAGATCTCCTAGTTGCTATTTTATGTGTGTTATGTTTGTGTTAGTGATTCTTTCTGGAAAGTTACGATGTATTTGTCAGAGAAGACAGGGTACAGGAGAGTGACAAGGGCATCAACGTGGACCTTGAGGTGTACTCATTTTTCCACAGTGCAGGGCCTGACATTTGTGATGGAATCTCCTGATTTGCACATAATTTGAATAATTCCTGCAAATTCAGCATACATAATGCAGGACATTAATGCACTTAAACTCCCCTATTAGTGAAGATGAATAATGGTAAAAATTGGAAGATACATTTCACTTTATATATTGTAACTATAATGGCAATAGTTTACAAATAAAAAAAAGCAGACTCTATACAGTGCAACTATAAAATCACTTCGTAATGTGACATGATGTCACACCTCAGACCCTGATATACCCGTCCCCCCAATGTTATTAAGAAACTTACGTCCCTGATAACCACAGAAATAAACAATTTGCAGGGGTAAACATGCATGTTTTCATCATTGGCAGAAGAATTAAAAAAATTAAAAGTTACACTGCAAGATTGCTCTCATCAGCACCAAGAAGAGAAAGGCCAGGCTGGAGTGCACAAGGCGAATCAGAAGAGTTTTGGAACAAAGTTTTATGGACAGATGAGGTAAAGCTTAACCTTTATCAAAGTAATGGGAAGGGGAAAATATACAGAAGGAGCACTCCACTTCATCTGTAAAGCATGGATGAGTTAATGTCATGGCTTCCGGAACTGGCTCCCTTGTCTTCACTGATAATGTAACTATAGACGGTAGCAGCAGAATGAATTCTGAGGTTTACAGAAACATCTCGGCTTCGCATGTCCAATGGTGGGAAAGCAGAAAGACAATGACCCAAAACACACTGCACACATAACCAGGAAGTCCATCAGAAAGAAAAAGTGTAAAGTTATAGACTGGCCAATTCAGTCTCCTGATTTAAACCCGACCGAGCATGAATTTGGGCAACTGAAGAAAAAACCAAAGTCAGAAATGGCCCAAAGCAAACTAACTGAAAGACGCTGCAGCAAAGGCAAGGTGGAGCATTTGAAATGATGTGGTCAAAAGTGGGGTGATGCCAATGGGTTGCAGACTTGACGCAGTTATTGCATGTAAAGGATTTAGGACCAAATACTAACTTTGGACAACTTAGTTTTGATTTCATTTGTCCCAGTTCTTATGCTCAGTTGAAATTGGAAATGTAAACACAACAAATGACATTTTTTCAAGATTTCAAGTTTATGCTGTACGGAAAATATTTCCCAGAAATAAAATCTGACATTCTGTACTTCAGTCTCATGATGTTCATTTGACCTTAAACATAAATTTAATGAAAATACAACAAAATTAATGAACTGTTGTACACTTTTCAAATTTTTTGCTTCTAGGAGTGCTGACTTAGCCAGCCAATTTCACTCTGTCTTTGGTGATGAGAGCTTTGCTGCTATTAATTGCTTGTGAAATTCCTAGTGGAATTCCTTGTAGTGGCCCATTTGTACATGGGTATAAAAAAAACAAAATTAAAATTATTGATCCTGTTTCTAAAAAACGTCATGCGAGCTACTCACTGGATCCCCTTGCTTCTAGAAGCTAGAGGGCAACGTGTTGGTGACTACAGATACAGCTTGTCTTGGATGATGCATGCCGCATACAAGTGAAATTGGCTGGCTAGATTGGTGCCTTGTAAAAATAGTAAAAAAGGGAGAGTTAATTAAATGAGCTTACCATAAAGGAGTAGATATCTAAAGCCGTATCTATTATTCCATGGAGATTCCATATGTGGTCTTTGCTGCTGAAAGGCGTGTTAAACGATAGTCCAATACATTGTGAAAAAGTGTTGATTGTAGAATCCGGAAGTTTCTACAGGAAAGGGTAAATATTTGGATTAAAAAAAAATTTGAGTGGGAGTTCATTTTTAATCATTGCAATTAATTTCAATTAATTGATTTAGTAATATAAAACTAAACTTAAGATTCCTTTTTTCTACATAGATAATTGGATTTTTTCAGAATCAAATATTGGTCAATATTTACAAAACATCACTGGACTACAGAAGCGATTTGTTGAATAAAATATGCATGCACCTGATTATATTCAGAATATTGCAGCAATAAGTAAGTTTGCTTAACTAGTTTCGCTCATAATTCAACTAAGAGAATAATCATGCTCACCATGAAGCAGGCTGGTTGTGCAACACTATCGTTACACATTCCATCAAGGTTGTTTTCATAGATCAAACTGAAAAAATAAAGATTCAAGCAATTTTTTTCAAATCTGTTTTTGTGATCCAGAATAACCAGTCCTTTGTCATTTGCTGCTTCAAGTGCAATTAAAAATAAGTCTTTTGAAATGCATTGACATAAGTTAGCTATTGCCTCAAGACTAAAAATGCGATAATTATATGAAAACAACCAAACATTTTCACTTACAGAGTTGCACCAAGACACCAGGTTTCTGTAAAATGTAAATACACAGAAAAAATATATTTATTATGAAAATATTTTTAAGATAATAATTATAAACATTATCCATATTAATAATTCTGGTATTAATTTAAGGGAGGCCCGGTGGGACTGTGAATGACACCTCCACTGTACGTGTGTGGAGTTGTCCTCACGTTGTGTCGGTTTCCGTCGGGGTATTCCGGTTACCTCTCACAGTCCAAAGACATGCGGTCAGGTTAAGTGGCATCTCTGAATTTCCCAAAGTGTATTTGTGTGTGTGTGTGTGTGTGTGCTCGCGCGTGCCCTGTGATTGACCGGCTGAGGATAAATGGTTTGAAGATGGATACTGCTTTGGGCATCAGTGCCAAATCCAGTAACAATGAGGAACAGACAAAATTCACATAAATAATATATGGTTAAACCCATATAAACTTGCTGATAGCCTTGCATCATAAACTCACATTGTACAAGGTATTTGAAGTGAAAATTCACTATGTGGCCAAAAGCATATGGAGAACCTAGTGTACTACAGGAATTGGCAAATTAAGCCAAACCAAATGGTGGTCGTCCAGAAGAACATTCCACCTTGACACCATCATAGGACACCATAATTCCAGTTTGCTACATGACTGACCATCTACATCTGCCCATGAATGAATTGGAAAAACACCTGGGAACAAATTCAGCTGGGAAGTGATTGGCCACACAAACTCACAGAAAGGGACCTAATCACCCAAAATCAATGCCCAAATACCATCAGCAATGTGCCATCATCAAACGGAAATCCTTCCCAGAAGAATAAAGGCAAGATTACCAACAAAGGGTGGACAAAATTCATATTAATAGTCTTGGTTTCAGAATGAAATGTTGGACAAGCTGATGTCCACATACTATAGACCATAGTGTTTTATAGCTTGTTCTTGCATCACAGCAGAAACACCCCAAAGTAATAAAGCCCTTTGGGACAAATACACACAAGGCACTAAGCTGTTTAACCAAATTTTACAAATGCCGAAAACATAAAATTTATTATGTTAAATATGAATAGAACCATACAAAACATGCTCGATTATGGGGTGGTGTGGGGCTAGAGTGGTCACACCTCTGAGACTGGGGTTCGAATCTCTGCCCTGTCTCCATGTGTGTGGAGTTTGCATGTTCTCCCCATGTCATCGTGGGGTTTGCTCCGGGTTCTCTGGTTTCCCCCACAGTCCAAAAATATGCTGAGGTTAATTGAAGTTACCAAATTGCCTAAAGGTGTGCATGTTGAGTGAATGGTGTGTGTGAGTGTGCCCTGCGATGGGTTGGTGCCCCATCCTGGGTTGTTCCCAGTCTTGCACCCGTAGCCTCTGGGATCGGCTTTGGACCCCCCATGACCCTGAATAGGATAAGCGGTTACACAAAGTACCTTGTGTTTTTTTACACATTTAATAAAGCTGGGTGTTTTACAAGGATATCTTTTAGATTCCAAATGACAAATTACACACAGGCTCCAAACTCATTATGCCTATTTTTGAATAACCAGATTTTAAAATCACGAAGAAAGCAAAAATAACCTGCTGAGTCAAACCCATTCCACCCCCTATAGCACTGAGAGAATTAACAATAATCACATAAAAACAGCAAGTGCTCATTTTAAACATATTTTTTCAGCATTACCCTTAACTAGACAGCTGCTGTATTTTTAATAGTTAATCTGCCTATTATATACATTTAGTTATGTTAGTTACACTGTGATTCATTAATAAACATTCCCTGGCATTTACACTGTATTTTAGTTATTTACAACATCTTCCTGTTCATGTCCTTACCATTGGCGTTTGTTGTGTTGCACTGTGGAAAAAGAAACTTGTTTAACTTTGATAAATTCTCATAGATGTCAGTTGATATACTCTGCTTTGATAGCAATATATATATATGTTTTTTTCCCCAATATTTTAATTTAAAAAGGCAGCCTTGATTCCTGCTATTAAGAATAGACAGCTTACCTCAACAGAGAGACTTGTCTTGATGGAAACTTAAATGGGATACAATTAGATGTGAAAATGTGCTATTTTTTGTATTCTATAAGTTGCAGTATGTATATTAATTTTCTTACAATTATAGTCAATGATAATTTTCAAAATACACAGTGAAAAATCCCACTCACCAAGTCCAAGGATTGCCACATAAATAGGGAGGAAATGGTAGATGTGGCTCATTTTAGCTTTTAAATTGCTTCATTGGTTACTGGGAAATAATCCTATAAATAAAAGGTTGAATTAATATATATGACTATTAGAAATGTAGTACTTCAGAGGAAAGCTGTATAGAATATACAAAATACATTAAACATGAAAATGCATTTTCCTAGAATTTGACCAGCTGAAGGAACTTACCTAAAAATTATTCACAATTTCCAGTCACTCGGTCTCCTTGAATACGTTCCAGTAAATATTTCACTTGCAGGTAATCTGTGTAAAACATTTGAACGTGTCCCCTAATGTGTCTCTTAAGATAATATTAATGTAATTACAACAGCCTACTTCCCTACACACCCACTCAAAGAAAAAAGATAACAGCAACCTTTGTCGTTTCATTGGTTTCAACATATTCCTTTGTGTCTCACTCACGCAGGTAGTTGTGTAAAGCAGATGCTGTCATACCTTGTTTGTCTGGTTTTACCGGGTTTACCTACAGTACATGTCTAGTACATCTGTTGTGAAAACAAGGTATGTGACATTTCAGAGTGTTTGAACTATGTACCTTTCCATACCAAAGCATGATCTTGCTGAAACATTTGTAAAAAAAAAAAAAAAAAAAAAAAGATGAATTATTTCTACTGTTGGTGATTGCATTCATTATTTTGATGAAATTGTCATTCCAAATTTGAGCCATGGGCTGTTACAGCTCATGGATGATTTGATACAGATTTCTATATTAATTCAAAATAGCCCTGTAACAGCTAACTCAGTAACTCAATATATGATTATGTGTCATGAATTTAAACGACAGTTTTATTATCTGACACTTTCCATGATTCAAGTGAAATATGAGACTAGATATCAGGAAACTAACTTGAAAACAAATGTTGACAAAAAACTGATCTTTCCACTGATTCACATTCACATAAAATAAGTTAATAACCACAGACTTCTTGCAATCATTAACTCCTTGTTGTCTTCTAATATCTCTGGGGTTTGTTATTTCTTTAGATCCAGAGAAGGCCTTTGACATGGTCGAATGACCGTATTTATTTGCAACATTGGAAGAATTTGGCTTTGGGTCCAAATTTATCTCATGGATTTGTTTGTTTTATGCTTCTCCTAAAGCTTCAGTAGCAATGTCTATAAAGCATTGTTTTTTTTTCTCCAAGGGGAACAACATGGGATGTCCCTTAAACTCATTGCTTTTCACCTTAGCCATAGATCTATAGGCCATTAAACTCAAATCTCAATCAATTCAAGGTCATTACAGAAGAAGAATAGAAGACAAAGTTCGTTTGTATGCAAATGATTTGTTGCTATTTATTTCTGTACCCAAAATATAGTAGATACACTGCAAACATTTGGTAGGTTTTCAGGATACAAATAAACTTTTCTAAGAGTGAATGCTTCCTGCTAACCACTCTGCTTTACAACTAGTAGATACAAATTACAGTGCATTTTAACATTTATACCACAAACGAAGTATGGATTCGCTGTTTAAGGATTTAAATGCCTGGTAATTTCTTGTCATAACAACACAAATGCATGCATTTGCTGTGTTAGTATAAGATATGCTGCACCTTATAGTGGATTATACAGGGAATGTGTACTTGCCAGTACCAGGTATGTGGACTACCGAAGAACTGGAAAAGTCTTTTGGACTGATTAATCAAAATTTCATCATGCAGGGTGTTTGTACACCATCCAGTAGTCAAAAGGTTGGTTTCTCACTCCTCAGTGTATGACACTCGGAGACCAGGGGTGAGTTTCCCGAAGCCTTCTTAACTCTACGTCGTTCGTTAGTTCTATCTTTTAACACAGAACTTAAGAACGACGTAGCGTTAAGAAGGCTTCGGGAAACTCACCCCAGTATATTACTTACTCTCACTCTCATATTATAGACGTGGACAAATTTGTTGGTACAGCTCATTGAAACAATGCTTCATTTCCCCAGAAAAGTGATTCAGTTAAAAGCAGTTGTCTAATGTATACCTGCATGCCTTTAGTATGTGATAGAGTAAACCAATAAAACTGTGAAAATGCCATTGGGAACTGGAGAAAACTCTGATAGGAAGAGATCTGGCAGACCCAAAGTCACAACACAATCAGAAGACAAGCTGAGAGTCACTATAGCTTGTGTGATAGGTACAGGTACCTCACAGGACAACAGTTAATCTTTTGTTATTGCAGTTACTCAGATGTTATTCAAAATTGCCCTTATGTATTACATTAAATTTCCATCTATCGACAGGGATGAAAGTGGAATACAGTTTACATAATTTTTATGCTCTTTGAGCCATTCAATGAACACTGATGCCCTCTAGAGGATTGCTATCTTGGAAGTTTCCACTGCCATCTGCAAAGGAACTCTTCATGTGAAATGAATTGTATTCAGCAATGGGTTCGCAGTGATTTACATTAACCTTGCCTATTTAATGGCCTGAAAGTACCAGAAGACTCCTAGAAAACGGCCTTTTACTACAATCCAATCCATCCTGTATTCTATATATACAAAATATATATACAGTATATATACAAAAAATATGAACATGAATTCAAATTCAAATACAAATAACTTTATTGTCTCCAAGTGGCAATTAAAGGCACACAAGGCAGTTGATCAAGGACAGGACACAATGACATAAAGTGCAACAGTATTTGAAAGATGCTGTGCAAAATTGCAGTCAATTAGGTAGATAAGAACTGATAAATATGTAAAGGGAGGTATTGTTAGTGGGCATGGGGGGCCCAAGTGCAGAATGACTGATGGGTTCCAGTGCAGGGAGGCGGGGGGGCAGAGAAGTCTGTGACTTGAGGAGTTGATCGGCCCTGGGAACAAAGGTCACTCTCCTCCTCTGTGTACTGCAGTTAGGACAGCAGAGCCGTCGTCCTGAGAGGAGCCACTCAAACTCTGGGTACAGAGCATGGGAGGGGGTCTGCAGAATCCTGCACGCTGTTCTCAGAGTTTGCTGCTCACTCAGGGATGAAAGTGCTCTGAGGAGTCCGATGATCTTAGAGCAGACTTTCACTGTGTTGGCAGGCGGGTCCTGTGCTGCAGGCTGGTGGAGTGATACCAGCAGGTGATGGAAAAACAGAGGACAGTCTCAATGAAGGAATAGTAAAAGGTTCTGAGTATGACCTTGTTGACCCCAAAGCTGTTGAGCTTCCTTAGGAGATATTGCAGCTGCTAACATCTCCTTAGAATGTCCTCGGTGTTGGAGGCAAACATTAGGGTGAAGTGGAAGATAGTGCCCAGATATTTGTACTCCTCCACCACCTCCACAGACTGCCCGTGGATTATGCTGACAGATCCTGTCGCCAGCTCCCTCTGTTTACTGGAGAAGGTCACCGCCATGTCCTCGGTCTTCTCCACGTTTAGCTCCAGGGAGGCATTGTCACACCACTCCACAAACTCACTGAGCACTGAGCTGTGCTGATGTGAGGAGCCAGAGAGCAGAGACAGGAGAACTGTGTCATCTGCGTACTTCACCATATGACAGTCTGGGTGGGAGGACCTGCAGTCATCGGTGTACAGGATGAACAGAAGAGGTGATAGGACGCAGCCTTGGCGGGAGCCAGTGGAGGTGATGGAGAGGTGAGAGAAGGTGTTGTTGACCAGCACTCTCTGTGTCCTGTTGGTCTGCAGGACGCGGCCACTGAAACACGCCCCCCAACCGCTCTGCACAGCACCCCAGGACGCGGCCATTGAAACACGCCCCCCAACCGCTCTGCACAGCACCCCAGGACGCGGC